CCCCAAGCAACGGAGCACCCCATACCATGCTCATCGTTACGTTCAGCACCATGATAAACATTTGCTCGCTGATATCAATGGGGGAACCGGCCTTACTATGCACATCCTTCACCATTTCTCGTACTCCCTGTTGGCGAAGTGCATAGCAGGCATCAAGACTCGCATTGCTCATCAGTTGATGAGCAAAAATCTTTCGCATCTTCCTCCATTGCGGGCCATTAGGGCTGAAAATAATATCAATCCCACCATACGATGGAAGCTTCGCAGTTGCTAAAACCTCATGGTTAGCAAAGATTGCATCGTTGTCTTTTAGGATTATTTTGGCGAGCGAAGCGGAGCTTATGACAATACAAATCTTTCTGCCCAGTTGGAGCCTCATGATGGGACCATAAGTGTTAGACAATTTAGCAAGGTAGTGATTTAAATCAGGTTGAAGAAAGGGAAGGTTTCCTAATAGAGGCAGGCCTGGCGGACCTGGTGGCAACGGCAGCTTTCTTGTTGATTTCTTGGTCATCAGCCGTGCATAATACAAGGCCAGAACCACCGCGAAACCAGCCCACCACCATGACTGGAACTCATCTACAAGGCCATCATAGAACTTAGACATTTCGAGGAGGAAAGAGGACGAATATTGATAGTAGGACGTTCGTAAAAAATCTCTAGACGCACATTTTATAGAAAATCCATAAAACTTTTCGCTAAAAAAGAAAAAAAAAAATCCGTAAGACTATGGGGTTAATGCCACTTATAAAAGTTGAATTTAAACCATCTATTCTCAATTTACGTCATGTGCTCCTTCTACTATTTAAAAATACCTCAATGTAGTCCCTCCATATATTTTAGGGGTAACACCTGTTTGTAGGGGTGGGCAAATGCCGATTTCGGTGAAAACCGATACTGAAAAGTAACTAGCAGACTTTTTTTTTCCTCTTTTTTTGTTTTTTTCATGACAGAAACCAATAACGGAATGCTTTTATTTTTTCAGTATTGGATACCGAAAATTTCGGTGTTGGATACCAACAATTTCGGTATACCAAAAATTTTGGCATTGGATACAAAAAAAAAAATACAATTTTTTTTCAATCTATAATAAATTTTTATAGTTTTTTCACAATTATAAAATTATTTTTATTTTTATTATTTTTTTAATAACGACAATGATTAGTAGATTAATACTGTTAGATATTAACAATTAAAGATTCGATTTTCAAATCTCATGAACTATTTACTGATCTCAACAAAGCACGTCACCATCGAATCACTTGGTAGAGTTCACAACTATAAAATTTTATATCATATTATCGTGTTTTTTGCTCTCATTCTCTTCGTAATTTTATTTGCTTGTAACCCCTCTTCCTCCTTTTTCATCCTCACCAGTGTTCTCTTTCCTTTCTCCACTCTGCAACAGCAAATTTGATGAATATCAAAATCAAAAAAATGAATAACGAAATTTTTGGTGTCCAATACCAAAATTCTTGGTATACCGAAACTGTTGGTATCCAATACCGAAATCTTCGGTATGCAATACTGAAAAAATAAAAGGATTCCGTTATGGGTTTCTGTCATGAAAAAAAGAGGAAAGAAAAAGTCCATTAGTTACTTTTCGGTATTGGTTTTCACCGAAATCGGCATATGCCCACACCCACCTGTTTGTTGACCATTAAAATGTAGACAGTTAAACGTTTGGAACATTTTTTAATTATTTTTTTCCATCCGTGCATCATAGAGCCTATCTGTGCCACCCTTTTTTTTTTTTTAAAGCATGCTTATGGTTAATTAATTTAAAGGAATTCAAAAACTAACAAACACAATCTTTCATACCAAAAGAAATTCGAATAGCATGAATTTTAGGAAGGATTTTCTATTTGTATTTTGGGTTTATCTAACTTGTGTCATTATGATATAGGTTAAGGTGCAATAAACATATAT